GTGTGTGTGTGTGTGTGTGTGTGTGTGTGTGTGATGGAAACAGAGAAAGTGAGAGAGGTAATAAGCCTTAAATACGATTAGCAGGATGCGTCTCATAAAGATGACCCATGCCTACAGAGACTCCACTGCAAATAAAAGCAAACCTAAGGCAGACGCTGAGAAGACTGACATTATGACACCATGATAAACACTAAAATGATTAGTGCTGCTTGCTTAGTCATTAGCATTGATGATACTGCCTCATTATTATTATTATTGCGTATACTGAGTGTTAGGGATTTGAACAAACCCCTAATCCTAAGCATTAAACTTCATAACTCATCCCACATAGTTTCTGGATGAGAATAATACCTCAAATCATGTGGCTTGTTGAGGAAAGTAGTGTTATTACTTCAGATATACAAATTTTGCCTGGCAAACAAAAACGAACAAAAAAAAAATTCTGCAACCACTTAGCAATGCCCTAACAACCAACTAATGTATAGTATGCATTAGAGTTCGCCTTTGTAAACAGCTACTGATTAGTGCATGTTTTCTGCCACGCTGAGTTATAACTCTAATGCAGGTTATGGGAGTTCAAATCCAGCATGCAACTTTTCCCAATTCAGTTCCCCCTCTTTCTCCCGATCCTTTCCACTCCCCAATCTGCTAAAATAGAATAATGCCAATGCAAAAGATAAATAATGGCAATGTCAAAAAAAAGAGGTTTATGTTTCCCCTTACTTCTTATCATTTCCTCTCCTCAGTTTGCTAAAATAGAATAATGCAAATGCAAAACATAAATAATGTCAATGTCTAGAAATTACTAATAAAATCAAAGAAAAGAAAAGAAAAGAAAAGATAAATAATGGCAATAGCAATTAAAAAATGGAAAACATAATTTTTATCCCAAAAGCATTTGAGGTTTAGGTTTCAGTCTAGTTTTCCTCTCTTCAATCTACTAAAATAGAATAAATTCAATTCAATTCAATTCAATTCAATAATTTTTAGCCCAAAAACATATGAGCTTACATTTCTCACCAGTTGCAATAAAGAACAATCTCCTAACAATTCTGGTGACAGAAATCAAAATGAGAATTGTGCAACTATTGTGTGTGTTTTATATAAATCATCATGCATCATCAGAAGTGAGGCTTTAATCAAGAACAACTTCCACTTCAGCATATACGTCATTATCTCTACTGCTTTATACAAAAAAGTAAAAACTCACCATGGAAAACAGCTAGATGTCCAGAGTGGGAGTGCATGTGTGAGTATGACGCATTACGCACATGCAACATGTGTACGCACATGTTTGATACTGAAGATGATAGCGTGTCTCTAATGTGTGTGAGCACATGAGACAAACACAGAAGGAATGTGAATTTCCATGGGAAACTTTCTACCCTGTGTGCAGTCGTCATTTACTTATTAACAAACGGCAAGCAGTCCTTGAGTTTACTCTGCCAGAGATTGACAAGAACAGTTTGAGTCAACAAAAGAATGTAGGACAGAAAAAGAAAAGATCTAGATCAATCAGACCCTCATAAGTCTCCAGAAAACTCCATGAGTAAAAGCCAGATTCTTGAGCACTGGGACAAAAACTTAAGCATTTATTTTGGATTCATGTGTTCAACATCTTCTGTTTACTCATAAAATGTGTATTTCCACTAGTTTGTCAATTAATGTGTGCCAACAATATCAGGAAAAAATTTATTTGGTTTTTGATGGAAATGTTCTAAAATTCTCTATTTTTTTTCTCATTTTTATTCCAAGTTGTGATAGAAATGGCATGATATTTCTGACAATAAATAAATAAATAAAATCATAACAGGAGAAATATGGAAATAAGACCTTCAGGATGAAGAGTGACTTTAAAACTACTTGATATGAATAATTTCATAAATCCGATGTTATTGACAAAAAGTAGAGAGGCACCTTTGAAAGATTAAAAACAGAATATTTTTATCATATTTTTTATCACCTTCTGTCAGAACATAGTGGTATTGTTTTTTTTGTATATTAAACTTAATATTTAGTATTATAAATAAAATTCCTATTAAATTTAATATTTACTGTATATGTACAAGTGATAATGTCAGTTTAGATTTTTTTTTCTTACTTTACAATAAGGTCTCATTAGTTAGCATTAGTTCAAGAATTAGGTAACATGAACCAATATATTTTTACAGCATTTAACAGATTTGTTCATATAAATTATTAAAGAAAATTTGAGGGTCTTGCACACTTTTTCACTCCACAAGTGACATGATTGCAACTAACCTAAATTCTTCCAAGAGTAAAAACTTGGTACTTGCTATTCATTTTCTCCATATCCAAAAAAGGCAATGTTAGTTAATAAAAACACAATTGTGCATGTTTGTTCATGTTACACTAATGTTAACAGTTCCAACTTTACTTACACATTTTTTAAATCAAACGATGAAATTACATGAAGATTACTAAATGCTGTTTTGTTCATTGTTACTTCATGCAGTTAATTAATGTTAATGAATGAAACCTTGTCGTAAAGCATTAACAAAACTGAAATGTTGCTTCTTGTGATCATCTCTGATTAATATCAAAGTAGAATTGTGGCAATTTTTGAAATATTTGACAGCAGGTATGGCTTTGTTTGGTCTCATGTTTCAAGAATCGGTGCAATATTTCACCTTCTCAATCTATTTATTGAGGAGCTCTATAGGAGTGTGTGTGCTCCATTGTGCTCAGATCTTGTGTTATGTAGTGGTGTTATTTGTGGGCAGGGTGAGAGCTCTCTCACTGTGACATTTAAACCCGGCAGTGCAGTGAGTCCTGCACTCACTTTAATTGAAACAGATGGAGAATCTGAGGCACAGCCGCAGGGCACGAGCTCTGAGTCTACACACACACACACACTGCTAAACATATACTGCATTTATCTGCTAAGAAAACCATCACTATTACTATTGCTCATACTTGATCCCTAACATCAAGTATTAAACTTTGGCACACAACTTGTCTCCTGCAATGTTTGTGAACATTGATATGAACGATATATCAAATTGCTCAGCTTGCTGCACCATTACTTTTCTGAACAGTATAATTAATGATTTAAGTCTGGTGGACATTAAAAATGAGGGAAATAATCCAATATACTGACATTGAAGGAGTGAACTGAGCCGTATATAAAGAGCAAAATATATTACAGACTTGGACCAGTCAGCAACCACATAGCAACAGGCTAAAAACACTTCTATTGCTCACAAAGCAATGGCTCAACATTGTGACAGTAACTTCTGCTATAAAATACTCAGAATTTTCTTCAGGATAATAAAAATAAATAAATAAACAACCTTGCAAATTTACAAATGTACAAAAAAAGTGGTAAAAAACCACCTGCCTAGTGTGTAGCACACATTACGATTCTCCCTCAAAAGTACACAGTAGATGGTCTAGAGCAGTGAATCTCAACCTTTTGGCGTACCGGACCCCAGTCCAATTCAGAACCATCCTCAAGGACCCCCAGAACAAAACTGACTCATCTATGTATGTCTTTGTGAGGACCAAATGTAGTCAAGTATAATTCAAGTTAGTTGACCATATCATCAGCTATATTGGATTTTTCTTTCATGGGAACATGTCAAAATATACAAAATGTATACAAAAATTCATACTTTATACGGACCCCCTGGCCTTACGTCAAGGACCACTAGGGGTCCACGGACCCCTGTTTGAGAAACACTGGTCTAGAGTGCTTGCAACCAGTTTTCTAGCATACTGAGTTGCTACTCTTATGCGAGTTAATTTTCTTAAGAATTACAAAAAAAACAACCTAGAACTTAGAAGGGCAAAGGAATAAATAAATAAACTATTTAGTTAATTAATTCATTCAATGTTTAATTTTTTTTTCCTTTTAACAATGTTTTTTTTTTCTTTAGAGAACCATCATATATACTAATGTTGATCTGAAAAACCTTTAAATGTACTGTGACATCAACAACTTTAGTCCTCAAATAATCATCCAAACTGAAGAAATCTATCAAGCAAAAAAAAAAAAAAGACGACATTTTCTAGGCTAATCCCAAAAACCACTGAAGAACCTTTCGTTTTTAAAAGGAAGATTATAAGCATTATAAAACTGCATATTACGGTCTCTTCTAAAATTGCAGCACTTCGTTGTCCAGATAAAATCAGAAATCATACACAACAATCACCACCACATTCGATCTTCATTGGAAAACAGACCCAATCTGGATGCTCCAAAAACCACATGACAAAAGCACTCAAGTGCAATGAAAACAGACTTAAAAACATATCTGATAACAGTCATCATCTTGAATGAAACAACATTTCATGCTATCACACTTTACCTTGAATATGAGCAGAGTTTAAACAGAATAATCCAGAACGTTTGTCTTTTTCTGTCACAAAAGCTTATAGCTCAGGAGCACAAAGTTCAGGCATAACTCGACTCCATCCGCTAACTGACTCCAGTGACCATCCAAGAGAGGCAGAGAAAAGGAGGGAGGGAGGGAGGAAGGAGGTGGAGGAGGTGAGCTATTCACCTGTGGAGCAACGATCAGACGCCGATCAGCCGCTGCATTAAAACCCATTGAGAAAGAGTGGAGAGCTGGTCCCAGGTCAGTGAGCAGGCCGCTGTGAGCTCACATTGCTTTCCTGTATACAGCTGATAGCAGGCAGGGTAAGAGGATCTGTACTTAGCTGGGGATGAAAACAATACCTGCTCGCTCAGGCTACACCGTTCAGTGGGGGTGGTTTATAGGTGTTTTTCTTTGGTGGTGGGGCAGTCAGTGAAATAGACCTGTCAACACATTGCTGTTATGTGAAGATAGGCTTCCTTTTTGACCATACCTGTGTTCAAACACACACACATAAGCAGAGAACAATGGCAACTATATTCCACCTTTGCTAAAGTGCTGCAGTAGCTGCCAGCATCCAAGGTGAAATACAGACGCATAGTTTTCAGTTGAGTCACATCTCGATTAATATATCTACTGTACAGCGTTTGTGCTGACAAATGCGTGCGAGTGTTGAATGAGAACACTGTGTCTTAAATTTGAATTCTCTGAAAGAACGGTAACGTACACCTTCATTCATTATACATTCTTACTTCCAGTCCTTCTTTGTATCCGTGTCTCTATCTGGGAGTGTTCGGAGTGACATACTACTCATGCAATTGCTACAGTATGCATTATGTATACTATGTACACTATGAACATGTGAATGCCCAGATGACCTACTACTGTAATTTACTGAAATGCAACTTGAGTCTTTATTTCCCCCAACCAAAAAGCAATAATTTACTATACTATCATTCAGCAAGTATGCATTAAATTTATCAAGAGTGATCATGTGACACTGAAGACTGGAATAATGATGAAAATTCAACTTTGCAGCACAGGAATAAATTACATTTTCAAATATATTAAAATAGAAAACGGTTATTTTAAATTGTAATACTATTTCACAATATTACCTGTTTTTACAGTATTTTTGATTAAAGAAATGTAGCCTTGGTGAGCATAAGAGACTATTCAAACTTTTACCGATCCTAAACCTTTGAACAATAGTGTATATATTTTATTATATGTTTGAATAAATATTTGACTGTTTTTCCAACCATAAGAATACAGAGTTGTATCAATATAAAAAAAAAAAAGTTCAAATTCAAGTAATCATATTTAAATGTTTTTGAAAAAGTTTAAAGTGGGAAACAGCGGATTGTTATAAAAGCTGAAAATTAATCAAATAAGAATTTCAAAGTATTTTATTTTCATTTTACCACAGTATAGGTTTGAGCTCGCAGCTGATTGGTCTGTGTTTTTAGCAGACAATGTGAGATGATGTACAGCTTTGATGCTTCTAGTTGAAACACATGAGAGATGATAACTGAACAACTCTCGCTAAATTAAACATGCCATGTGACATTTTAGCAGACATGCTTCAAATGTTTATTAATGCATACCATGCACTATTTAAAATTTTTTTTACATAAACTATACAGTATGCAGCATGGTAGTATCCCATCTCAAACATAGCCCTTGCTCAGTATCTGTCTCTCTCACAATAAGACATTATTAAAGTTAAAGTAGGGAAAACATCTCAGCTTTGACAAGACAACAGGATCGGACACAAACACACACACACACGCTTCCTGCTGCATTTATGTTTGCAAAATTAGCTGCTAATCAATGTCCGAGTGTCTGCTGGACAATAATTTTACGGCATGCTGAACTTCATGGACTGTCATAACTCTGAAATGAGATGCATGAAACTTTAACAGGAAGTGAAACTCTTCCCTAGATGCATATTAGGTCACAATGACAACAGAGGAGAGGCAAGGTCTTTGCGGTATAAATATTGCCACTTAAAC